TATGACTCCCTCAGCAGCAGGTGTTACCACAGGAGATATGAGCAGTGTAGCAACAGAAGTTAGTACCGGGAATATGACTAGAGCATCCACCTTTGCATCTATTCCTCCTACTCCTTCATCGATTACTACAGAAGAAAAGACAATTAAGACAACTATATATACGAAAGATTGGTCAGGTTTGTTCAATCGAATGTTTTTTATATTTTGTTGTGTAATTGTTTATTTATATATTTTGCTTTGGTAATGTTATTCTCTGCCGACTATTTTTTTTTTATTATTCTTAGTCACTATCACACTTAGCGTTGTGCTTCCTGACTTGAAARGTATTCACGAAAATCTCTCGCCGTCAAGTGAATTGTATCGCTTGCTGTCCAAGCCTATTTTGACAAATGTAAGTAGATAATTAATTGAAGAACGTCCCTGAAAATTGTATGGATACATCATTAGCCGTCGTGATTGTATTTATATGGAAATGGAGGTCAAACATCAAATTAAAAAAAATAGTCTTTAGAGACGAGTATTGTTGAAAGTAGTTTTAGTACAGTATAACTGATTAAAAGTGGATTTTAAGCCTGCTCATAAGTTGGGAACTGTTTTTTTGTACACACTTGAATATAAATCTATCGAGAATAGCAGCTAAGCGCTCCATAAAAATGCCATATTATCCGCGGTATAATGTTTTTATTTGAACTGATTTAAGCAAATACAAAATATAGAGTCTATCATTATTGCCTGAAAATTACCAAGTTTAGAGACACATCTTCCATCATCTTTCCTGCAATTATGTACGATATAGAATAGAAGAATGGACGAATACTAGTTGCAATCTTTCCTAATATTTTCCCCCACCCCATCCCCTTCCGCCCTTGAAAAACACTCGACTTATCTGTSTATTGCATGTTCAAAGACAAGCTTGCGTGCTGGGTACACCGAARTAACCGTCCATAGAGCGATTTGTCGCTCATGGCGATGTCTAGTGCACATGCTGACAAAGATTATTGTACTCCACACAGGTTGAGAAGTTTGCCTCTAACTTTGAAAGTTTTGTGTATGCCAAACTCATTTCCGTCAGGTTAGGAAAGTCTGTTTTTAATAAATTAAAGATTTATCTTATTGAATCAAAGTTTTTTTCATAGCCGTAGATCTGGTAGTGCTGTTGCAACGGTTGAGTTACGCTTTTCCAGCTTGAAAAAGAACGAATTGATTGACCTCGTCGAAGTTTTGGAGGACAATCGTGCGATCGAAGAGCTTGCCGTGGGTTCATCAAACATCACTGCTGATAAAGGTAAGAATTAGGATACAAACTCTTCAAAAAAATTTGATTGATAGTTTGATTGATTGATTGGTTGATTGATCATTTTGCGTGCATGCTTGCTTGCTTGATTATTTGACTGATGGCTTGTTGATTGATTCATTGATTTTTTTTAGTGATTAATTTATTTATTGCTTGATTCAGTGCTTGATTGATTGTTGAATAGCTGATGGATTGATTGATTGCTATTTATAATCATTTTTAATTGATTATTGATTGATTGATCGCTCATATTGATTTATTTACTTGTTTATTGCTTGTTTGCATGATGAATTGATTTATTGCTTGATTGTTTGATTGATTGATTGCCTGATTGCTTGCTTGCTTGATGTTTTGATTGATGGATAGATAGATAGATTGATTGATT